TTTCAGACTCTCACGCATCTGACGTGATGCTGGCACTTTCAGACTCTCACGCATCTGACGTGATGCTGGCACTTTCAGACTCTCACGCATCTGACGTGATGCTGGCACTTTCAGACTCTCACGCATCGGGCGTGATGCTGGCACTTTCAGACTCTCACACATCTGACGTGATGCTGGCACTTTCAGACTCTCACGCATCGGGCGTGATGCTGGCACTTTCAGACTCTCCCAACTTCTCAAGGAATTGTCTGACTCTGCTTTCTCAAAAAATGTACGTCGCTTTGGATAAAAGCAGCTGCTAAGTAAATAATGTAAATGAGCCAGTAATCTTTTAGCGACAATGCCAGACACCTTTGCTTTTAATTATGATTTTTATTTCCGATCTAACATGGTTGAGTTGAGGAAAACTTGTTCAATGGGTGCTAAGTCGTTGATTTTACGTTTGTTTTAAATGTATATTAAAGCATATTGACAGCAATGCATTCTGAGTGTTTTGTAGTATTACATGTGATCTTAAACCTTTTACATGTGCCATGTGGATATTACATTTAACATTTTAACATCTGACTGCAATAGCAAACAGTCATTGAAACAGCATTTATAACAGTTATAGCAAAATTATATAAAAATTATATTGGGAAAGATGGAACAGGAAATGGGCATGATATGTGAATCTGTGTTAGATGATCTCTCAGTGGGATTAAGTCAGAACACGATATTGGAGGTTTTGTTCTATGTAATGTTATCTTCACAATAGTTTTTTTTTTAGCAAAAAGCAAAAAATATTGTGCACTCCCCCTCCCAGGATGACACCATTTCATTTTCTCCCTTCAACTTGCATCATACTCTTCATTGACGTTGCAAAACCCAGGTTAACAGGTCATCTAACTCCACCCTCCCGAACACTTAAACACTATATAATGCTGCTGTGATCCAACTACTTTGCACTCAGCACAATCAGAGCACAGGGAAGAAGCAGAACACCCAAAATTCACTCTCATCTATCAAGATACACTGGTGAAACAGGGAATGAATAGCATTGCAGCAAAATAATTTATCGTACATACCTTTCATTCTTAATATGCTATCTTCAAATAATTTATGACAATTTAATTTACCACTTTTACTGATTACTGCAAGGGGGTGGCTAGCACTTTGAATGTTTTAAGTGAGGAAATGCATTACAGAAACTTTCCGTAACAGAGCTAAAAGTTGAGCAATTGAACCAAAGAACTGTTTTAATAAGTTGTAGTCTTTATTGGCTATTTCAAGTTCAATTTTTCATTGAGAATTTCGTGTTGAGGGTAAAAAAAGAAATTCGACTTGTATTTTGAAACTGTTAGTAGACGTCTTGTAGCAGGTCAATCTCATGTCATTAAACATCAGGTTGATTGGCAGTAACGCACACCAGTGTGTGCAGGCTGCCCTGCTTTGAGAACAAATACCTTACTACTTAAGAAAGTTCTGTCACTGCTGATGTGGGAAAATATTACAGATGATTAAAATATTACAAATGATTCATCGAACATTTTTCCCTTGGAAGGAAGCAGCCATATTATTATGTTGTAAATGTTAATGTTTGAAAAATTCAGTTTGATTAACATTGTTTCCCTCTTATTTTCAGCACTAAGCGTTTTGGATATATTCCGGCCTTAATGGACACATCACCAGCAGCTGCATTCAGTCTTTCAGGACTAAATGAATCCAAAGAAAACAAAAATGTAATATTTGCCTTTTCTATTCAAGGTTATATTTTCACTCTCTTCCTAAATTTGACTATAATTACAACAATCTCACTAGAGAAGGACCTACATCAGCCGATGTACATTTTCCTCTGTAACTTGTGTATAAATGGATTGTACGGCACTCTGGGATTCTACCCTAAATTTCTGTACGATTTACTCTCAGACTCCCAAAACTTTTCATACATAGGCTGTTTGCTTCAGAATTTTGTTATCCTCTCATATGCTTTGTGTGAATTTACCAATTTAACAGTAATGGCATTTGACAGGTACGTGGCAATATGCAGACCTTTACATTACCATACGATTATGACACCCGTCACTGCAGGCAAACTACTTGTTTTCATTTGGATGGTTCCGTGCTGTTCTGTTGTGTGTTCCATTCTGCTGATCGTTAGATTACCCTTTTGTGGTATTCATATCAATGCTGTGTACTGTAAGTTTGTAATTTGCAGTGGCGATTTTATATTCTTTGCATACAGTGTAGCAGTAACATTCATATATTTAGCAATGGTGATGTTTGTCATCTACTCTTATGTTAAAATACTGTCTGCCTGCAGCAAATCGAAACAAAGCCAGTCTAAATTCATGCAAACCTGTCTTCCTCATCTAATTAGCTACATAAACTACATTGTCGTCACATTGTTTGAAGCGTTTAGCACTTACTTTAGTAGAAGGGACATTCCCGAGTGGTTTAAGATCCTTATGTCTGTGGCTTTTTTAATCACTCCCCCTGTTCTCAATCCCATTATTTATGGAATGAACCTTAGACCAATCAGGACAAGGATAAAAAAAAATGTTGTAAAGCATGCCTTTTAAATATTTATGAATAGCACACATTCGTTTAGAATTCACAGCACACACGCAAGTGCTTTAATTAAATTTTTAATGAAAGACATTTTTTCCAAGTTAGTTAAATTTTAAAAATTACAGATATTCAGCTTTATAGTTTCTAATATTTCCCCACATATCACAGCCACTGTTAAATGACCTGGGTGGGATGGGTTCAGCTGGGGGTGTGCAAGTAAATTGTTGTGCATTAAGATCTGTATGCACGTATGCAAATATAATTTAATATTCTACTTTTAATTTTTAATGGAACATTTCTGACATGGTCTAATAAACAAGTTGTCTGTCAACAGCCTAATTATTAAGGACCCCAAAAAGGCAAAATGTAATGTAATTTTTTAATATTGCTTTTTGGACATTATAAAACCAATTTAGGAACTGTTATCTGTCTCAGCAGCCCACTGATTTAAAATGTATTACCCACTGTTTTTGAACTTGAACTGAAATCTGCTTTCTTACAAGTGAAATACAAGTTCAAATGAAACCTTTCAGTATGCAGCTTCAGGCTTTTAAAAAATCATTACAATGCCACTAGAGGGAAGTAAACTCAACACTAACAGAACATGATAACGGGCAGTGCATCATTTAATTCAGTGGTTGTCAAATCTTTTTCTATCCAAGGGCCGCCTGTACCCAAATAAACATGTTTTGGTTTCCCTACACAGGTTATGCTATTGCGTTCTGCAATGGTGACAAAAACTGCCAGGGTTTATTAATATAAACATATTTTATTTTGGTCACACTGCCAAAAAATGTAGTTTCTTTTAATCATGACTCAAACAAGGTTTAATTTCACTGCCCATTAACACTCTTATTTTTCTAAGTTCATGATTTTGCTCTTAGAACAGAATGTGAATGTTTATGAACAAAGAATCTATCAAGCCTATAAACTATTTGGCAAATGGCTCTGAAACCATAAGCTTGACAACTATTACACATGCGCTTAATAAATGAAAAGACCCTAATTTTAAGGTATTAGCCTTCAACAAAATAAAACAAATATTGCAAATTATGATATTTAAAATAATGCTTTAAAATTAAATGAAACAAGTAACGATTACTTCTCGTACTTATCGTTACTTCTTAACGATAAATTCTCGCGCTGTTTACAACCAGGAATGAAAATGATTGGTTTCTATTAAAAATGTTTAATAAAGCCCTAATTTTAACACACAATTAAAGTATATTGATATAAGTGGTACTCTGTCAAGGGTGCCATGGTGGTGCAGTGGTTCGCGCTGTCGCCTCGCAGCAAGTAGGTTCTGGGTTCGATCCCAGGGTGCCTTTCTGTGTGGAGCGTGCATGCGCTCCCCGTGCATGCGTGGGTTTTCTCTGGGTGTTCTAATTTCCAAAGACATACAGATTAGGTCAATTGACTACTCTAAATTGCCTGTGAGTGGCTGTTGGCCCTGTGGTGGACTGGTGGCCTGCCCAGGGTGTACCCTGCCTCTCGCCCGAAGATGTTGGTATTGGCTCCAGCTTCCCTGTGACCCAGATGGATAAAGCAGTATAGATAATGGATGGATGCTACTGTCATCCTATGTTGTTCTCAAAATGACATATCTGCATTTTTCGAATTTGATATATGCTGTCACTCCGCAATCTGCAGCTATGACTTTCCCAACCCAGCTAGAACAAAACCATGCCTTTGCCTATTTGGCGTTGTGAAAGTACGGCCCCTCTTCACATGATCCATTGGGTTCTGGAAAAAATACAGGAAGTGGACATTTAAAATATGTTATTGCATTAATATATTTGTTTCTGGTGATCGAGCTGTGCACAAGAGTGTAAATCAGTTGCTCGAAAAAGCAAAGGTTTTAAAGGTACATGTTGTGGGGACATGTATTTCCTAAAAACATTAATGCATTAATTATACAGTGGTTCCTCAGAACTCAAACTTAATCCGTTCAGAACTCCAGATCGAATCTTAAAAAGTTCGAGTTATCTTAGGTCGGCGTTCACGATTTGACTTCTGAGATTCAGATCGAGCTCTAGGTAATGTTTTTTCAAACTGGTTGGATCGACTTTTAAGAAATTTGAGTTCTAATGAATTCGAGAACTGAGGTACCACTCTACTTATTCAGTGATTGCACTGTAAATAAAGCAAAAGTTTTCTGGTGGTGCAGGTCTCCCCCGACCCCGTCCCTTCCTTTTGCACGGCTTGTTGGGGACCTGTTACTGACCACCAGGCTGTTTCCTCTGCTGGCCCTACTGCTCCGCAACTCGGGTGGCCTTGCGCAGCTGCTCCCACCCAGCCAGCTCTTCCTGCAGTTTCTCCGGGCGACACCGCCCCCACTACATGAACTCATGAAGCCATTCCTTATCCTGCTCGCTTTGCTCCCGCTGCTTTGCTAGCTCACAGAGCTCCTCAGCCAGCTGGGCCTCTAAGGCTCAGTGACGCACTGTTGCTCCCAGTCCTGCTAGCTTTGCTGCCGCTGCTCTTCAAGCTTGCGGCACTGCTGAGCCAGCCAAGCTTCCGGCATGCGCCACGCCACCTCACGACCGAGGAGAGCAGCCTCAGCCTGCTGCTTCTGTTGGTTGGGCTTGCAGTTAGGGTCACGCCATGGGTCCTTGCTGGCTGTGAGCAGGCAGAGTCTCTGGGAGCTCCCATCATCAGCAGTCACCAAAGTCGTCTCAAAGCTGACAGGCTGGCAGAAGCAACTTGATTGCGAACTGCATGGGTGCGGGGTGTTTTAGTAGGACAGAGCGGTACCTCCCTCACTCTGTCACTCCCTATTCGTCTGCTGGTGGTTCTGGCATGGGTTTCTAGGCAACAACATGCCCAGTACCCCTTCTCCCCGCAATACCTGCAGACCAGCTTTTTGTCCCGGAGTGTGTGGTCCTGAGCCATCTTCGCTAAAGAATCGCAGCCGCTTCTTCCCTACCGCTGCTTCTCAGCTGCCTGCAAGTATGCCAAGCTGGAGTGGGCTAGCAGAAAGTGCAGAGAGCCCCTTCCAGTGGATGTAATGCTGCCCATGCACAGTATACGTGAGGTACGAATCGGGTAGTTCCATAGGCTACCACCCAGCCCTAACTTTAGCAATGTAATATTTTTTTTCTACACTTTTCAAATAAATTGTGTGACTCCTGATATATACTGATATAGTGTAATGGTATAGCATAGTATCATCAGCAACAGAGGGCCCCAATCATTACATTATTCATGATGAAATAATTCCCAAATCATTCCAGTACTGAGGAAAAAAAACGCAAGCTTCAATCTCACAGGAATACAATGAATATATATAAAGACACTGCAGTGTCTGAGCATCGGAGTGTGAGAAGGAAGAGGCTCAGAACAATAACCTGGAGAGAAGATAAAAGGGTAAAATGGCAAAGGTTTTGCGGTTCTGTTTTGAATGTTTTATTTGTCTACAAGCGGATGGAAAGTGGATGGATGTTTATTTAAGATAACAAATACACCATATGGACAAAATTATTGGGACACCTGGCTATTACATTAATGGGAACTTCTATGACATCACATTCTAAATCCATAGGCATCGATATGTAGCTGGTCCCCCCTTTGCAGCTTCCAGGATTCTGACTCGTGTTCCTGTAGCAGATGGATACTTCTTCTGTTCAATATTGCCCTAGAAGGACATCAGTAAGGGAAGAAACTTTCTAAGTGGATATCAGTGTATTAAAGTTGTAACAGTATATAGTAAGAGCGTATGACAATATATTTTTAATTAATTACATTTTTTCCAGACCATCCATATATATTTTATTGGAAATGGAAACATCCACTGTTGTTTATATTACCCTTAAGGCACTAAATGAATCTAGAACAAACAAATACAGTGGTACCTTGGTTCTCGAACTCACTAGAACTCGAGTTTCTTGAAAGTCGAACAAACCAGTTTGACCTAGAACTCGATCTGAATATCCGAAGTCGAACCGTGAACGCTGACCTAATATAAATTGTACGCGGCAGGAAATGAGTCATACTACGGTGTGAAGCATGCTGGTATGTGAATAACTTAAGTATATATTTCTCAGCCTTGCAGCTCAAGTTAATCTGACCCCATATTTGTATCCACATTCATATTCATACCCAGCTCTTACTGTACTTACTCTTACTTAGCACTGTGCACTTTATCGAGTGATTCTTCTATTTTTATATTTTTTTTATTTATTCTATTTTTGTAATCTTTTTTGAAGGATGAGCAAGCAAAGTAAAATTTCATTATATGGTTCTAACATGTACATGTTTTTTACTGTGCATATGACAATAAACTTCTTGACTCTTGACATTGTCCTCACCTGTCCCCAGCAACCCTTGAGTCCAACACAAAGTCCCACAAATGCTGCAGAGGCTGGTTCGTGTCACAGTCCCCAGAGGCCCCTGGTATAGCATTATCTCCCATTGTGTCCTCATCCTCAGCTGCTGCAGGGGGGTCACATCAGGCCAAAGGACAATACAGTGTCAGGTGATCCCTGTGCAGGACCACAGGAGGCTTTGCGGGATAGGTGGGTGTTGTAGATGTCCAAGAGGGAGAGGAGTGGGGCTCCAATGATCTTTCCTGCTGTGTTCACTATGCACTGCAGGGTGTTTTTGATCACTGGAGGTGCAGCTTCCAAACCACGCAGTGATGCAGTTTGTCAGGATACTTTCTGTGGTGGATATGATCGGTACCAGGGCATTGGCTCTCTTTAATTTGTGGAGGAACTACAGGCATTGTTAGGCTTTCTTGGGATAAAGAGAAGCCACTGCATCCATACACGCCGCTCAACTCCAAAGGTTGACCTTCCCAGCACCCCATTAATTAAATTAATTAAACCACCACACCTAGTCCCCACATCAACTTTGGGACAATCAGCTCGCGAGTGCTAGTGAGGCTGAGGAGATTGAGAGGCTGGTGGACGCTGGGCTGCTGGCGGGCACTGGTATTGCAGTTCCCCTTCGTCGCTGGCCCTTCTCCCTGCATGACTTAGTGGGAACCTGCTGCCCGTCCTGCTCCCTGGATCAGGTGGTCCCGCGCAGTCGCTCCCAGCAGGCCATCTCGGTATGCAGCTTCTATCGGGTGTGCCATCCCTTCTCCATGTTATGGAGGTGAGATCCTCCCTCTTCCGGCACACAGTTGGAGTTCCTGGAAGCTCCTGCCTCCCTTGTTCACCAATGTCGTCTCTAACAGGGGAATAGCAGGCTGTCGAGTATGGCTTCAGGACACACTGTATAGGTCTAGGGTACTTCTGAAGGATGAGGCAGTGCCTCCCTCACTGTGCCACTCTCAGCTCGTCTGCTGAAAGCTCTGGTATGGGCTTCTGGGCAAAAAATTGCCTGGTGTCCTCTTTTCCTGTAGCACCAGCAGAAGAATTTCCTATCTCTTCACCTGAGGAGCGACCTCCGCCCCAGAGATAGGTGAGTCCACCCCCATGTTCCCAGACACTGCTTCTTTGGTGGGATTGAGGAGGTCTTCGAAGTATTCCTTTCACTGATCCAAAACGTCCCGAGTTGAGGTCAGCAGCGCCCCATTTCCACCATAAACAGAATTGATGCTGCACCGCTTTCCTGCCAAAGACACAATATGCTGCATTGCCTTACCTTCTACCACATGTAGAATGGAGTTCCATTTTCTTGAACTTGATCTTTTTCCATATCTTTTATGTTTTACATTAGCAGCTCCCAACCATTTCATTTCCAAGGACCGGTTTACATCCCAAAAATTTTTTATGGACCAGTAAAACAGCAGGAGGGGAGGGGGGGGGTTCTGGAGGATATATAGCATTATAGATATATAGCATACAGCATTTTATTTTTCATTACGGGGCAGGTGACAACTTCAACAGCAATGTCAAACCCATTACCCGGAACGAACCGCAAGGAGTAAAAAAAAAATCAAGCAACAAACCACACTGTCTGCGTTTTCTAATGTTATGCCCTATGACAAAAAAAGTTTAGTTTTGAATTATATTAAAACTAAATCTATGTACATCCATCCATCCATTATCTCCCGCTTATCCGAGGTCGGGTCGTGGGGGCAGCAGTCTCAGCAGGGAAACCCAGACTTCCCTCTCCCCGGCCACTTC